TATATTTGCTAGCATAATGTGAAACTGCATTGGTGTCTGCATTACAAATTGGGTACACTCTGGCAGTTGAGGTTTGCCTGTATTTGATTACAATAACCCTATATATTTTTAACACTGTGAATGGTGACTGTTTACAGCTGTTACCTTAAAGCAGGGGTCAGCAACCTTTTAATCACGAAGTGCCATTTCCAAATTTCCTAGTTAAAGGGATGGTTCACCCAAAAATGAAAAAATTGCTGTTAATTCACTCACCCTAAGGCCATCCAAAATCTAGGTGACCTTTTTTCAGTAGAACAGTAAAGAAGATTTTTAGTTGAAACTGTGGTCCTTGGTGATTCATAAAATGAAGAATCAAAAAAGCATGTTCAGGTAATACAAAATTATTTAAAGCTACCATCCGTATCCGTTTTTGTTTAAATATGATTCAAAATCAATTATTGAGCAAGTACATAACTAATCATTGTTTAAACTGATTAAAATCTCCTAACTAAAATCTCCTTACCTTAGCCCGATTCACAATGGTAAGCTTGTAATAATGTTTTCTAATTTGAGTGGTTTGGGTCATTCGTCTTTAAAGCATTATGTCACGTCAGTATACATAAAGGAGTCCCGGCTAGTAGGCTCTATCACGTGTGTGGATGCTGCAGGTGGCGGATCATTTGTAGCATCTTCTTACAGCAGCTGGAATAATTAAACTTGTCATATTGAGAATAGAGTATTAAACGGTGCATGATGGTAATGAAACACATGTAAGTGACTGAAATTAGATTATTTTGTAATGTGCATCTGATTACAGATATATAACGTTAACAATTTAAGAACACACAGTATAACAATAATAATAATTTGCACGGTTTGACGTGATCTGAGCTAACTTTGCGATCGTTAGATTTTATCAGCATTGGTAACGCAATTGATTGTAAAACTTTTTTTTTTCCAGTTGGACAGAACAAAACTGGTAGACATGTTACTTACTTGTTCAGATGTCATTTTCTGGTGAAACTTCTTATTTTCAATACTTCCAAGACGTAGTATCCGTAATTCCGAAGTACAGTGAATATCCACACTGGTGCGTTGGCTGACAGCCCACACATACACCTCAAAGATTCATCTACGCTGAGGAGCCATGCCGATGCACAACCCACGTAAAGAAGATAATTCCGCCAATAACTGCAATTGCAGGTTTCAAACAGAGATGATGACAAAAAGGCAAAACTTACGGACTGCAGCTTTAAGTTTCTCAATCAAAACTCATTTTCGGACATGTCTGACAGTCATTCCGACTCGAAAAGATCCAAAATACCAGTGTATATGATCCTATGATTCTGTTTTTTGTCAAATCATTCAGTGCTCCAGTTCCTCCAACAGTACGCTGAACTGAGGAAACAGTCCGACTCGGACTGAAGACCGATCATGAGTCGATGATATGGGCATACATGAACCAAGCAATTGAATGAAGGGGCAAAATTAAAGTTTTTCTGTTTTCTCACAGTTTGTGTGAGTTTATTCTCTTTATGTGCTTTAGACATGTAAAACATCCACGTTTCACATCATTGGATGCTTTAATATATAATTGCATATAGCTAAATGTGATCACTTAAAACGAACTGGTAAATTGGTTATTTGAACACTGTTTGCCCATTTACAGGTAATAATGTTTTAAATAATGTTCAGTTTCTTCACAGGCCGATAGTTTCACTTCATAAGACCTCAGTATATCGTCAGGAGCCACGGGTATTAATTTTGTGTTGCCTGTAAAAGCATTTTTTGGTAATACTTTATAATAACATTCATTTATAAATCATTTACAAACATTATATGCTGTAATGCTTAACATATCATTAGTTAATATATTTTCACAAAGCTATAAATATGAGATAATGTTCTTGTCAATGTTTACTAATGAACTTACTATTAACCTAATGACTAACATATGATTATTTAATGTAAATTGAAAAGCTTACAAATGTCAGTAAACTTTCAGTTCATATGATCTTCATTTGTTGCTCTTTGTTGTGTAGACCTGTATTTACACATCTTAACAAATAATCTATTAATTATTTGTTCATGTTTTTGCAGTACCCAATCTAAAGTGGAAACTATTCATCATTTGCAAATGTTTATAAATGTTTACTAAACATTAATACCTTTATGAGCATTCATCTCAATGGCAAAAAGTATCCTGAAAGAGCCGAATTTACACTATTCACACATCTTTACTAATCATTTATGTTTTTGCTGTAGCCAATCTAAAGTTCAAACTATTCATCATTTGTAAATGTTTATAAACGATTACTAATCATTTAGTATCTTTATGTGCATTGGACTTTTAGCTAATGTAACAATGTTTGTGTAAAGGGTGGTTATTAATGCTTGCTAAAGACATAACAGATTGTAATTTTGGTGCAAATGTTTTTATTGCCTCAACACTACATTAGTACACTACTCTTCTCTGTCAGGGAACTGGAGAGAGATGAGTGAGGACTCAAATGCAGGATGAAATGAGCGTTTATTAATGGAAAAAAACAAAACAAAACAAAAGAAACAAAAACTACCCCGAGGGGGAAAAACAGGCAGGCAGGCTGGCCGGCCAGGACTTGGCACAGCACAGCAAGGCAAGATAAACACACCACGCACAACGAATTCTAACTGACATAAAACAACGAACAAGCACAGGACTGCAGACACAATGAGAATAAATAGGGAGACAAATGAGGAGGGTAACGAAGGACACACAGGTGGAGTAACTAAAACAATAATGAGATAACAAGAAGGGAGGGTTCAGACAATAGACAGGAGAGCACATGGCACCAACAACAAACAACAAGCCATGTGCTTAACAAAACACTCAGTGACATCTGGTGGCCAACTAGGGCACACCAGCAGAACCGTGAAAGACCCCCCAGAAATCCAACACATCTTTGTAGTAACAAGAGTGTCCATGTTGTTTTCACATTCCGACTTATAAGCACAACTCGGGAAATGAGAGCATTCGAGGAGCGCGTGAATGCAGTAATTACACTTGCTCTGATGGCAGCAGGTATTATTTCCGTTAACTAAGCTAAACATGCTTAAATTAAAATGCCTAAAGCTAAATTGCACTGTTTACTTTCACTTTCGATTTCGAGATCACACGCACTCTGTGTAAAGGGAGCACATCTTACAAGATCAGATATTTGTCAAT